ACATGTAACGGAAATTCCAGAACAGGAAGAGACAAATAAAACCGCTGAGAAAATTGTCCAAGACTTGTTGAAAAAGAACTTCCCTGATATGATGAAAGATGAGAATATATCCATTCAGGAAGTCCAACAAATCCAAAACAGGATAGACCCCAAAAGAAAATCACCAAGACATATCATCATCAAATTCACCAAAACGAAAAATGAAACAATCCTGAAAGCAGCTCAAGAAAAATGAATAGTTATCTACAAAAGGCAACCAATAGGACTAAGCTCTGATTTCTCAGCAGAAACCATGCAGGCAGAAAGGCAATGGAGTGGGATATAGAAAACCCTGAAAGAGAAAAATTTCCAAACAAGAATTATATACCCAGCAAAATTGTCTTTCAAATATGATGGTGAAATTAGGAGATTTCCAGATAAGCAGAAATTAAGGGAATTTGTTAAAACCAGATGAACCTTACAAGTGATTCTAAAGGGAGCCCTTTGAACAACAACTGACCATTAAAACATATGATGATATAGCACAGAAGCCAACCCCATTACGGAAGTATCCAAAGTAAAGTAAATTTTACAAGATTGTAAACAGAGAACCAGAGACATTGATCAGCAAATGAGGAAAGTACAAACCAAAATAAGTGAAAAAATTGTGTAGTTACAGAACTTCTAAATGGTGAGGAAGTCAAGAGCATTGCAAGATAGAATGGACTATTCTAAACTCAGGGAGAAAATTATAAATTATAGAGTAACCTCAAGTAAAAATGAAAAACCTTCACATCACAATAAAAAAGAGGACAAGCACAAATATTTAGCAAGTACTAAAACAACAACAGCAACGAAGGAAATGATAACACGATTCATAAACTAAATGAGCTCAGCACAGAAAATTATATGGAACAAGGAAACCAGGAACACCAGGAAAAAACACATACCAAAATGATAGGAACCAATTCATACTTGTCGATAATTGCATTGAATGTCAATGAATTAAATGCACCACTCGACAGATGGAGAGTTGCAATATGGATAAGAAAACATAACACAACAAGAATATTCTGATAAATTTTATATCCACTCACTGTTCTTAGGAGAGACTTTATTATTATTATTACATTTAGTAAGCTACACTGAAAAGAACCTTGGGCATGAATGAGTTTCATTAGGTCTGAGGAGACCTAACATCCTAGAGGGTGACAGATGTTCCAGTAAATTCTTTCTTTAAAACATATGTTGAGACATATCAGTAGGTAAATTTCACCTTACTCATAAAGATAGATGATTCAAGGATTGCTGGTGTCCCCTCACAGGGAAGATCTCCTAATTTAGAACATGATAGTAAATAAATTATATATTTGCCTGGTAGTAATTTTTTGCTTGTGTCCATTTCATACTGCTAAAATGTGTTATATTTTAACATTCATAAAAAAAAAAAAAAAACAGTGTAAGAATGAGGAAGAGTGAGAGCTGCTATTCCTGAGCAAATGAGGATGGTGTAAGGAGTAGAATCTTAGCCTTAGATATTTGCCTCTATTATTTACTAAACACAAGACTGATCCCAGTGCTTAAATACCAGTTCATACTTTTGCAAGAGGTTTATTTTTAAGAGAGACACTGTGCTGGATAAGCAAACTTTTTGCTCTAGACAAATTACCAATAAGTAATTACTGTAATTCTTTTTTTTTTTTTTTTTCCCTCATATCAAAGAGCATGATTTTTTTCTTTTTCTTTTTCTTTTTTAATTATTATTTGGGTGAAAGTTTACAGAGTAAATTCATTTTCCATACAGCAGTTCATATATATTTTGTTTCATGACACTGACTGCAACCTCCATAATATAACAGGTTGCTTCCCACTTCTTCCCTATAGTTACCTCTTCCCTGTACTATTCTTTCCCTATGCATTCCTGCTCCCTGGGCTATCTCCCTGTGCAAATACTGCCCTTCTGATCTGCCATGATTGATTGTTCTAAGGAGCGTATGTACCTACCTGGTATAAATGCCTGCCTATTGTTTGGCTGGAAGTCATGGGAATCAGTTCAATTCCAAGCCTGAAGGATGACTAGGGGCCATAGTCTCAGGAGTTTCACAGTCTCTATCAGGCCAGTAAACCTAGTCTTTTTTATGATTTGCAGTTCCATATTTTTCTCCCACTCTATCCAGGATTTCCTTCACTGTTCCCTTTCTGAGTGGTTGACAGATAGCCAGGCACCATCTAGGTAATCTAGTCACATTGGCATATAGGCTGAGGTGCCCATTGTATACTAGTCCCTTGGACTAATTGTTTCTATATGTCTTTGATTTTCTTCATTCTTCTTTGCTCCAGATGAGGAGAAACCAATTGTTGCATCTAGATGGCCAATTGTAAGTTTTTAAGACCCCAATAGCTAATCACCAAAGCAGGATGTAGAACAATGTTTTTGTGTAGCATGTTATGCCAGTTAAACTTGTTGTCCCCTGAGACCATGGTCTCAAACCCACAGGCCCAACAACTGACTCCTTCAGGATGGTTGACTGTGGATAATAAGTGATCATAGCTTTGCCCCCTGTTAGTTCTATTTATATGGACATTCTTATAGCATATACAAATACATATGTAGAGACATCATCCTCCAACCTTATATATGGTCAGGAGTAGATTCCCTTTGCCTAGACATACCTGATCATTTAACCTATCTACCTGTAGATTAATGTTTAATATTACTGATAATTCAGTATTATATATGTAAAAGTGTTTATCTTTGTTGTCTGATCTCTTGTGTACTTCTCTGTGTCTTCCTTTTTCTTAGTATTATTGTATTGGTCACTTGCTTTTGGCATATTGCCTTTCCCTTCACCCAAATCAATACTTGCCTTTTACCTATACAGCAATTCTTCCTCCCCTCCCTCCCCATCCCTGGTAATCAACAAACAGTTTCTTTCCATATATAAACATTCTTTGACTTTTTACAATAGTGGAGTAATACATTATTTGTCCTTCTGTGGTTGACTTATTTCACTTAGCATAATAAAAAATGTCCTCCAGATCCCTCCACGTTCTGCAGTGTTTTGAAGATTCTACATTATTCTTGAGTGTTGCATAATATTTTATTGTGTATGTGTGGCATAGTTTGGTTATCTATTCCTCCACTGATGGGCACTTAAGTTGTTTCCATCTTTTTGCTACTATGAATAGTGCTGAAATAAGTATAGGTATGCATACTATATTACTGCATTTCTTCTTCTTAGTTCCTACCTGTTGTTGCACAAACCCAAAACTTCTCATTTAAGTTCCACAGGTAATGCTGAGCTCTCACAGCATGCACCTACATTTTATTTAAGCTGGTTTCATTATGCAGATTATTTAAAGTGGGATGATATAAACTAAATGTAAGACAAATCTAACCTAAATATTTATAGCTAACATTGATTCAGAAATTTATATTAGTTTTTACTTCTCTTTCCTCTGAATTACCCTTATTTCCATACATTAGTTGTGTTGCTTCCTTTTTTTTTTTCCTTTTCCTCAAATACAATATATTTATCTCCGTTTGATCCACATATTTAGACTTTGCGTATATCCAAGTGTTTGATTTGTATTCCTTTAAATGCTTATGGAGTTCCACTTATTTTCTGAAACATTTTTTTTTAATAAATCACTGTTGATTTTTCTCTCAGATAATTAAAGAAATCATGGGTATATTATAAAGAGAAAATTAGAAATAGGGTTTGCATTTATTACAGGTACAGCATATCTCTTAGCTAAAATTGAAAACTGCCAAGTGTTACATTTTTTCTACATTGTTTTGCCAATAAGTAGAGCATGCATGCATTTTGAAAAATAGTATAATTATATAACTTAAATATAGGTAATATATCCTCAGTAGTATGATAATTTATCATCTACACACCTCAATAAGGTCACAGGGACCAATAGGATAGATATTCAAATAGTGTGAAATCTATACCAAAATTAAAAATATATCTAGTTTTTGTGAATAATTATATACTTTGACAAAGCATCTGATCACATTTCATATATATTTTTCCCAGTGTTTTTCCTGTTATTCAGGGTGTTTTTCAGGAAACATCTCTTGGTAGAACAAAGAAAAATCACCAAAATGCTATTGATGTTCTGTAAAAAACCAGTTATTGGAAAGCAGCTTCAATTGAAACACAATTTTTCACTATTATTGCTGAGAATTACAGAATAGTCTCTTATAAAAAGAGTCTCAACATCATATGCATGAATCATAAGAACATGTTATAGAAGATGTCTGATTTAATCTAACAGAATGAAAACTTTGAGATAAAAGCTGCTCTCCACACACAGACAAGCACCCCCACCCCACACACACACACTGAAGGCATACATTTGTGACCTAAGTCAGGAATCATATGTAATAGATTTGTCCACGTTCATTAGCTAAGATTCTTTATGCATATGTTATTTACTTTTCCTCTTGTATATTTAAAAAATGTTCACATTATTAACAATCTAAATGCTAACATAATATCAATCACTTCTAGTATTTGCCTCCAGATAATTTTAAATTTGGCTTCCTTAGAACACACATGGCATAATGCTTGTCAGAAGAACATAGAGCTCTTCATTTTGCCAGGGGGTTGGCAAGACCTGTTTACTTAGAGTAGCAAGCATAGAGAAGTAACAGAAGATAATGTTGAGTGAAAGCTGAATTAGGTAAGGGTATGTACTTAGACATTCACTATGTTGATAATAGAAATTTATCAAAATTTATTTGGAATGGGAAATGTTACTTGAAATTTAAATCAAAATACATTATAAATTATATTGTTATTTTTCAGATGTAACCTATGTTTTTCTAAGCATTTAATGAAGTATATTTTAAACTTAAGTAGCAAGTCAAGTGAAAACACAATTGCTCCTGCAAGATATTGTTGATGATTTTCTATCTTCTACTGAGCAACAAGGGCCTTTATAACATGTGATTCATTTTTTGGTTTGTTTTTCATAATTAATACTGAATGGTTTCTTTTCTGTTCTAGGTTGTGGAGACGAATTTGGTTGCTTTTGACTGTCACTGGATCATTATAAATGAGGTAAAACTAATTAAACGTTGGATCTGTGGGGCCTGTTTTCATAAATGTATTGAAAGCATTTCCTATAGGCTCGAGTTTCCAAGAGGAAACAGATCATGAAGTAAACTTTCAGCACACTGAGTGGATGCTGTTCAACAAAAATAGAATGAAGATTAAAAAAAGAAGAAGAATGATAAATGCCTTTGTATGAATAAGATAAATAGAGAAAGTCTTCCCAACTAAGTATCTTTTAGCCTTTTCCATTGTTCATACTACTTGCTTAGGGAAATCATCTTTGTAAAAAGTACAATTCTTCTTTGTAAGTACAGTGAAAATTTCCCAGCGGAGTGCTTGTGTACCATTTATTATTTTAATATTATTTCTTGAACTTTTATACCCCCATCCTTACAGGAAATCAGATTAAATCGTTCAGAGGATGAATATGAATGAAGAGAAAACAGATTTATTTCCTTTTCAGAGTAGATTCTGATTCATAGCAACCTGATAGGCTGGAATAGAACTGCCTTCTAGGGTTTCTAGGGTTTTAAATCTTTAGAGAAGCAAATTGACATATCTTTCTCCCACAGAGTAGCTAGTGTGTTCGAACTACAAATTTTTTGGTTAGCAGACAAACACTTGACTGCTGATACAACAGACTTCCTTTACAGAAAGAAATACAAGTGCTTTAAAATACATTGACTTGTCAAATCTCTTGTGAGTTGTTTGTTTGTTTTACCGAGATAATACATAAAATTAAAAACATGCTACAACACAAGAGCCCTGAGAAATAAGTTATACATTGTTGTTATTGTTTTTGTGTTCCATTGAGTCATTGCTGACTCATAGCTCACATGGGACAGAGTAGGACTGTCCCAGAGGGTTTTCTTGGCTGTCATCTTTACAGAAGCAGGTTGCCAGATATTTCTCTTGGAAGCAGGTTGTTGATTTGAACCACCACCTTTCAGTTAGCAGCTTAGTGCTTAAACACTGAGAGACCAGGGCTCCTTAAAGTTATTCCGTTAATGCCTACCAGTCAGATTCAAAAGGGATAATAGGCAGTTCAGTCATATATAAATATGAACACCTGCATTTATCTTTGATAAGACCTAGCATTCCATCATATCTATTATTTATATTAAAAGAAACATATTATTCATCTTTAGATATTGAATGTACAATAAGTTTTATCTCAGGGACAAAATAGCAATTTGGCCAAGAATTCTGGTTTTGCAACCAGCAAGATGAGTTGGATCCTGGCTATATACCTGTGCCTCACTTATCAACTCTCTTGTCCAAAGTTTTGTATTTATGGCAATAGTAAATCTTCTGACTATTGTGCCTATTAACAACATATGTCTAGCAGTAACAAATGCCGAGGTGTGAGGTGAGTGTAACCCTGGCTGTGATGGTTAAGGTTATATGTCAGCTTGGCTAAGCCATGATTCTCAGTGGTTTGACACTTATCACTTATGTAATGATGTAGTCATCCTTCATTTTCACATGTACTGATTTTTGCAGAATGAGCTGCTGTTTGGGACCTAGTTATGGTAGTAAGTGAGGAGTGGATGTATATTTTGTTAGATGTGTGCCATGCATAAACCAAAAAAAACCAAACTCACTGCCATTGAATTGGATCCAACTCATAGCAACCCCTCCTTGGATTTCTGAGACGGTATCACTATGGAAGTAGATCCCCCAATCTTCCTTCCAAGGAGTGGCAATATAATCTCCTTGAATCTCACTTTGCTTCATTTGCACAATAAGCATAATAAGATCTAATTTACAGGTTCATGATAAAAGGTACATGAGGTGTTATCTAAAGTTCTAGCATGGTCTGGCATGTGACTCTCAATAAATTAGATTCCAATAATAGTCACAGCACATGAAATTTCACAAACTACTTTCACACACGTCATTTATTCCATTGCATACTACTAGAAACAAAACTATTTCTATGAAATACTGAGGGAATGACGTCCATAAACGTAGATGATTTACCTCTTCTTACACAGAAAAGCAGTTTCAAGTTTTAAGGCCTACATATGTCACTGATTGAACAGTTCTTTTTAGCTCAGCATAAATACACTGGAAACATCTTGCAAGTCTGTTTTCGGTCCGCCAACCTTTGGGTCTGTATGCTTTGTTTTTCTTTTCTTCATGACAGATTAAGATATATTTTTCTGAGATCCCCACAGAGAACGAGTATGTGGGAGATCTGCTTTTCAAGTTCAACTACCTGCCAATTTTCTTATAGCTCTTCATTTTCTAACTCTAAGGACTATACTGCTCAAATAGCAGGGCAGAAGAAAGGGCCCAAGGGAAGGTTAGCAAACCTTCACGGTTTCTTTTCAAATTAGATATTTTCTATTTTTCTGCAAAGATCCAAAGAAATTAAATACTTTAGCCAATGATTTTGAAATGTTATTTCATTACTGTTTGTCTTTTGTTTCATATTTTCTAGATTGTTGTTGTTGTTGTTATGTGCCATTGAGTCAGCCCCGACTCATAGCGACCCCTCCTTGGGTTTCCGAGGCAGTATCACTATGGAAGTAGGATTGCCTATCCTTCCTTCCGAAGAGTGGCTGGTGGGTTTGAACCGCCAGCCTTCTGGTTAGCAGTCAAGTGCCTTAGCCACTATGCTACCAGAGCTCCCATTTTCTAGATTACTTTCCTGAAATAAAGAATTCTCCTGATCCCTTCTTTTTATCTTGCACTCAACTTCTGGTAGGGACTAGACCACACAGATGTCCTGATGCAGAACAAGCTGGTCATTTGAATTATTCAAGTCAATAGAGGGAAAAAATAAAAGATATTTTCTGCTTCTTAGTAATATTGATTAATCAATACAAATTAGTAGTGACAGTGGATAAGTGGAGATAGCCAATTCCCTCTATTTGCCTATATTATAGATAAGATTACTGAAATATATATATATGTACACACACACACAGACACATATACACACTTTGGTGGTGTAGTGCCTAAGGCATTTGACTGCCAACCAGAAGGTTGGCAGTTCACACCCACTAGCCAGTCCGCAGAAGGAGGATTGGGCCATTTTTTGGGAGATATATATGTATATTCCAATTTAACTCCTAAAATGACACCTGCATCTTAGAAATATGAACCCAGTTAAAAACCAAACTAAACCAAACTCACTGCCTCTAGTCTGTTCCAACTCATAGTGAGCCCCTTTGGGTTTCTGAGGTGGTTAATCTTTACAGAAGTAGAGTGCCCAGTCTTACCTGTGTATAATTCAATAAATGTCCACAGTGAGGAAGACATTTGAGTTTTCTGCTGTAAGCTGTCATAACTACTTATAATGTCCCCTTTATTGTTATTGAAACCCTTTAAAGTTGTTTTTTACAGACCTACTTACTAGTTCTTGGGTAGAGGTTTCATTTCTTTGGTGCAGGTCAATATCACTTAGCCTCTGAAAACTCCAATGTTCACAACTCTCACATTGCTTAATACTTTTACTTTTACTACCACTGAACATATTTTCTATATTTTCATAACTAGAGAAAAAATAATCATCAGCCAGTATATTTGGGGTCACTACTCTTTCTTCTACATGCTTCCCTTGAGCATCTTATTCTTCCTTAATTATGCTTCAAGAAAATTCCCTTTTATCACCTTTACTTCTTCCTTAACATTAACATACTTTTTCAGACAAATTAATAATTGATGAATCTTAATTTACCCTAATTTGTGCAAGCAAAGAAACATTACTTTCTCAAATTTACTAGGAAGCTAATAAACTGTACAAGTACAAAACAAAACAAAAAAAACTCACAACATGCAACAAATACCCATTTTGATTGAGCACAGAAACCATGAATCTGTCTAGTTAAGTTTGTGTAGCTATTATTTTGTTGCTAATTTTACAATGGGTTGTAAACATTTATTTAATCTTATTACACCAATAGTTTTTTTTAGAGTGGGACTATAAATCAAAGTTGGCATTGTGCATCATGATACAAATTGATGTAGAAACTTGAAAACTATATATATATATATATATAATTTGCATTAAGTGTACTATAATTATGAGAGGCTGTGCTAGCTCGTTCGGTGCAATCAATCATATATTAGTATTTGGAATGGGTATTTATCTTCTCCCTGAATTCAGTGGATCCAGCTAAGAACAGCCTTTCCAGATAAGTATTGTCACCCCTTCAGGGCCTATCACTTTATCTCAGTTTGACAAAAGTTAGAAACTTTTCAAATTCAAATTCAGATAGAAAGATGTACACTGCTTAGTGCTCCAAAATGGATAATGCTATATACACATTTTTTATTCCCCTGACCTTGACCTTTGATGTCTTGATGAGATTTTACTGACATGTTTAAATAGTTTAAGCAGTTTTTTTTTTTTTCTGTTGTTAATTACTGCAGAGTTAGGAAGGAAGTATTTTGTTTTTGTTTTGTAGATTAAAAAGCCTTTATGTGTCATGGATATTTTTCATTGTTTTCTAGTTTATGGATGAATTAAACTATTCACTACTAATCTGTGAGATAAAAAGTTGGCATTCTTCTCTTCCTGCTATTATATAGCCTACAGTTTATTATGTCCCATATTAGCACATAAAATTATTCCATATTAATGTTAAACATTATGGAAGTGCCATATACTCATCTTTGCTAAAACATAAAGACTAAACATATAAGAAAAAAACAATGGAATATCTTCAAAGTACACTATGTAGTAGAGTGATTAATTTCATTATTGAACTCTGCTTTATGTAGAATTGTTAATGTTTTAAAAGATTTCAGTGTCTAGAATTAAAATTTCACATATTTATTTTCTGAAGATGGTTGGGTAAAATCTCACCATTCAGTAATTTGTTTTCATTTTTTAAAATATATCAAGTAATTATTGAATACATAATATGAGCAAGGAACTTTATTAGAAACTTTATTAGAGATAAAAGAATGGGGAAAGAAGGAGATGGAGAGTTCCTCTTTTGAAATAGTCTGTGTAATATAGATTGATATCTGATCTAATGGATTTTGAGTCT